AGGCATGAGACCCTTGTACTAACCCTTCCCACATATGTGGCCTTGTGCTACAATAAAATTTGTATTTTATATGAAAATTGAGATTTTTTAGTGTGGGAGGTCCTGTATCATAGATTCTGGAGTGGAGACACAAGAACCTTGCATCAGCCCTATATATATATATATATATATATATATATATATATATATATATATATATATATATATATATATATAGAGAGAGAGAGAGAGAGAGAGAGATACATACATTAGAAATGCAACTTAATGGTTCTGATTGGAGGTCCCGGGCAGAGTGACTCGCTATCTTATGAACATTTACGTTTTTCTACCTACATTTATATACGTTAAACCTTAAGCTAAGTACAACTTCCAATCTCCCGATCAGAGGACTTGCTGCCGGTTATAGTTTATCGTCATACCCAGGACTGCCAAGGACAACATAATTTTTTTCTGTCGATATCTCATCTGACGCCCACAAGCGGGTTAGGATATCCAGCGGAACGTTAAAACGCGGACAAGATGTCTTTATTCAAAATAGCAATCTTAAATATGGAGAAGTTACTACAATTAAACAAAGTTTCAATTATGGATATTTTTGCTGCTTAGTTAAAATAGATTCAATGTGGCAGACGACAATCGGCATGCCATACATACAAATGTCTCCAAATAATGAAGGGGTAGGTAATAATAAGTTGTGACACAGACTTAAAAATATTACCAGTATTAAATTCAGTGTATGGAGACATGATAAAAAAAAAATAGAAAAATAAAAAGCGGCCATGTCTGTTTCGGATTTAATCTCTAGTCAAATGTGAATGGATATGTCTCCCCTGTGAATACAGAACCCATTAAGCAATGACGTCTGATTGACCAGTGCTGAATAGTGATTTCTATTTTCAATAGTAGCGTATGTAAATTTATTTACAAAGGGTAGTTTAGTCAGGTACGGTGCCAGCTAGTGTGGAGCACCCAACGAGGATACAATTTTAATATATTCCTGTCCACGAGTATCTGTCTATATTTCTGAGATGAGGTATTATGTACATTATTTACATTATACGGACTATTGTCCTCATCTTTGTTGCTATATTTATTACAACGTTTCGGCCGTTATACACTCCAGCCTTTTTCAAGTGGTTGGAATGTCGAACTGAACCCTTTATTTCGCTCACTAGGGTAGACTGTTCTAGTTTCACGTGCTATGTCTAATGGATGTCAGTTATCAGCTATCTCCTGTTAATTCCTTTCTCCAAGTTCTCTACTGCCTTAACCAGGTATTGAACTCACACTCTTTGGGTCCTGTCACTGGATCTAACCAACGCCTTTATCCACTGTGCCACGTGTCCTTGAAGATACATGGCGCAGTGGATAAAGGCGTTGGTTAGATCCAGTGACAGGACCCCAAAAAGTGTGTTCAGTTCGATATTCCAATCACCTGAAGAAGGCCGGAACGTACAAGGGCCGAAACGTAGTAATAAATATGGCGACAAAGATGAAGACAATAGTCCGAATAATGTAAATAATTGTATTCTTGTCCACGTTCACAGTACAGGAAAATACTCGTTGACAACACCAATATAATACACCTTGAAAATAATAAACAAAAACTCCAAATTCTCGTCGCCTTCTACATTCTTGTGCAAATTAATTGAAACAACCACTTTAATTTCCTTTCTTTCACCATACGATCACTTTTAGACCCATTGGGGTGACAGGGTGTAATCGATTTCTATTTTCAGTGGTTTTTCAGTAAGATGAATCTATTTTCAGGGTGTATGATGGAATTTGTTTTGCCTTGAAAAATATTGCGTTATCCGTGGCTGCATCAGGTTTTTATCACGCCCAGGTACTATTGTCTCGACTGTCGATTAGTTGTCCTACGGCTATTGTATGCGATGGACGTTGCTCCACGGAAGCGTACGGAAATTGTAACGCTGTACGAACATACTGGTAAGCTTTATCAGTGAAAAAATCAAAGTACTATAGACTGGCCCAGAAACTCTACTGATTTAAATCCAATCGAGAATCTGTGGTCAATCGTGGATTCATTTTGTTTCAATTAATTTGCACAATCAACCAACACTCAAGAAAATTTATTACGAATATAGTAACAACATATTAAAATGCATATAATACTTAATGCCATTTTATATTTCTACTAATTACAGTCACCCCACCTTATATTGAAATGCTTGTTTTGCAAAACATTATATAGCTACAACGGGTAAATTTAAAATTTTAAAATAATTACAGAACAAAATCGCCATAAAAAGTGAAAGTAGATCTTATCACAGTTACAATATGTTTGTCTGTAATTTACCCGTGAAGATGATCTTGGAAATATCGAAAGTACTTGGGTTAACAAAAACTAAGGCGCCTTCCTCGATGAATTAGAGAACTGGAAATAAGTAAAGACACAAAATCACTATATTAAAAATAAGTAGACACAAAATCACTATATTATTCAATGAATATATATATATATATATATATATATATATATATATATATATATATATATATATATATATACAAAAAAAAAAAAAAAAATTACTTCAACATAAAGGATAATCTATTTCCATCAGCCCTTAAGTTCTTAGGGGCTGATGATAGCCAAATACAGAACGGCTTGAAATAGACGAACCTCTACGGTAAATTTTGTTTTTTTTTTGTTGTAAAAAATACATATACTCTGTTATAATAAATACACCAAGCTCCCTGTGGATCAGTTTTAATAACTAATATTACTAGGATCCATCCGGATTATATACCAATAATACTGACCTTATCCATGATTCCCTGTACTCTCACTAATTCTCCTTGGCCACATGCAGCAAAATATCTTCAAAGCAGAATGCTTCCAATACCGTGCTTAATTGTAAGGAGGATATTTTGGATTTAATTCCTTAAGTCCTTAATTTATTCTCAACACAATGAGTCTCGTTGTACTTCTTGATAATGCTACAAATTGTCTATGTAGGAACATTTAAATACTTGGAAAGTGTGGTATACCCATCACCTTCTTTGTACGCATCAGCTATTTTCATTCGGAGTTTCTTATCAAGTCCAGTCATCTTCGTCATGGTTGCAGAACGAATTAGTTATCGCGGTCAAATAAAGAAAAAAAACATTACAATTACTATAGAGCAATATTATTTTATCATTTCTATGAAAATAATTGTCGGACTTTGTCCATTTCATAATGTGTGACGTCATTTGTTTACATTGGCTTACGCCATGAGCAGATATGAATATACGTGAGAGATTCATGGAAGATTGAAGTTTAAAGACAGTAAATTCGACCTTGGTAACCGAAAGCTCCTTCGTGGCCAAATCAATAAAGGCACGTCAAGCTAAATGATAGTTCTGTATAGGATATAGGCTCGAATCCTGTCGGAGGGCGAATATTTTCTGTGAAAATTTCTCGGACATTCAGGTCGGTAAATGTTGGTTAATATTGTTTATTATAAACAGAGCATTTACTTAAATACTTGTATCTATAAAAAGAATGTATAAACATAAAAATGTCTTAAAATAATATATATATATAATATTGGTGGTCAATACACACACACACACACACACACATATACGATCCGTTTAGGTGAAACCTAGGTAGGTTTGTCTGGCTCACTAGGTGTATCTATCTATCTATCTATCTATCTATCTATATATATATATATATATATATATATATATATATATATATATATTCTAAAAGAGGATAGAATTCAGGTAGAACTCAATGTCCAGGACAGAGTAAGAATATAATATAAAAGGTTCAAACACTAATATTCCATGGTTTATTACAGTGGAATCGTAATCACGATCCAAGTCATCAGACCTACAAATTCAAAAAGCTTTACATTCACTTACGTGCTGATACCCTTGGGAATCTCCCTCCAGCTATGGGTAAATAGCAGGACAGACAGGGTTCTATAGCCTTGGATGGCAACTGGTCTAGGAGAAGGACAACTCTGAATTCAAAACCTGCGGAGGGTCATTTGGGGACCTTGTGGCACGTAGTGCACCAGGTCTCTGTATTCGGCCCTTCAAAAAACGTGGATGGTCCTGCACGAAACCTTCACCGCTATAATCAAATCTCATGTGCTGTTGTCGGGCTGTCAGTTTCCTAGGAACTGATCTGCTTGACCCTCATACGAATTCGACGGGAGAGTCGAGTATATAGGTAGAGAGAGAGAGAGAGAGATTTGATCTTAGATATGAACAGAGAGAGATAATTAAGAAATACACAGGGACATATATATATATATATATATATATATATATATATATATATATATATATGTGTGTGTGTGTGTGTGTGTGTGTGTGTGTGTGTTTCTTAATTATTTCTCTTTGTTCATATCTATCCAACTATTTATCTGTCTGTTTAACTATATTCAAATCTATCTGTCGGTCTGTCTACCTGTCTCAATCTTTTCATATACACGGTGTCCACAAATTAATAGTACAACTTCAATAGTTTATTGTATTCATTCGACTTGAGATCTATCAATATACTTCTTTGGATGTTGAAGAGATATTATCAAAGTTTCTATATAGTTTTATAAAATTCATATATAGTTTGTTCTTTCTTCAATCCACTTTCCTTTGTCTTTTTACGTAAATGTTAAAAGTACTTATTATTGATCGCTGAGTTTTAATGAAAATGATAATATTGCAAGAGAACGCTCAATGTGTATCCTAGTCCATCGAAACTAAATGGGGCATTCTGGTTCTGCGGAATTTCTGTACAAAGTATAAAAAAACACCAAGACGTGTTAGCATCAATGTCTGGCACAAGACAGGAAGTATCTTGTAAAAAAAAAAAAAAAGAAAATTAAGCATTGTGTAGAAGTGTTGCATGAGACAATGATGAAGTTTGTTGAGATGTTGAAATAAAAGTTTATTTGTTTGCTTATGCTTTCCAATAAATCCTGTAGAATTACGTAGATTTTTTCATTTTTTAAGAATTTAAAAAATTGTAGAGATAATTTATGGACATCCTGTATATCTATCTGTTTATCTATTTCCCAGTCTGTTCATATCTATCTGACTTTCTCTCCCTCTCTCTCTCTCTCTCTCTCTCTCTGCTCACGTATATCTATCTATCTATGTTTATATATGTGACTGTTTATGTATATAAAGTATATAAACGCACACATCTGTATCCATCTCTTCATATGTGTCTATCTAGCTAGCTCAGTCTGTTCATATCTATCTATCTATCTATCTATCTATCTATCTATCTATCTCATTCGCTTCATATCTATCTATGTATATGTCTCTCTCAGTCTCTTCATATGTATCTATCTAGCTACCTAGCACGGCCTTTTAACATCTATCTTTCTATCTGTTCATATCTATCTATCTGTCTATCTGTGTCTATCTCTTTGAGTTCATATCTATCTTTCTATCTCCATCTATATATATATGTGTGTGTGTGTGTGTGTTTATATATATCTGTCTGCATGTCTGTCTCTCACATTCTCTTCATATGTGTCTATCTAGCTAGCTAGCTCAGTCTGTTCATATCTATCTCAATCTGTTCATATATATCTGTCTGTGTCTATCTGTGTTCATATCTGTCTATCGATCGATCGAGCTATCTATCTACCTATCTCAGTCTGTTCATATCTATCTATCTATCTCCGTCTATATATATATATATATATATATATATATATATATATATATATATATATATATGCCTGCATGTCTGTCTCTCACATTCTCTTCATATGTAGTATCTATCTAGCTAACTCAGTTTGTTCATATCTGTCTATCTGTGTCTATCTCTTTTTGTTCATACCTGTCTATCTATCTATCTATCTATCTATCTATCTATCTATCTATCTCCGTGTTATATGTCTGTTTATCTGTCTGTCTATCTCAGTCTGTTTATATCTATCTATCTATCTATCTATCTATCTATCTATCTATCTATCTATCTTTGTATCTCATTCTTCTCATATGATTAATCGTTGTTAATAGCTGCCTATATGCAACAGAACAAATAACACAAAAAATTTGATTCTTTTCAGACATCTTTGAAGAATGCTTCCTTCAAAAGAATCTATTGAAATCCTGGTGATAACCGTGTCATGAATCATTGGAAATATTGCAAAAGAATTCAACCGGAAACATGTAAAGCATCTCACCCAATACATTGCCGCTAAATTGATTACACATTTCCTAAAAAGTGGATGTATTAAAATTCATCTGAGATGTGGTCATCCATGTACATTCACCGATGAAACCACAGTAAACACTGAGCCAGCTCTCTATACATAGAGTCTCCCAAAGGAAAAGGATTTGTCAGTTGACTGATTAAAATAATGTTAGCAAGTCGAATATGTTGCATATCTTGAACAAATACAAATGGCGTCGATACAAAACGCAAATGTTGCTGCATTTTAGCAATGACGAACAGAACAGGCAGATGGAATTTTGCGAATACATGATTGAAGGCCGTGGTAAACAACGGCGAGGCACAAGGCATGAATCCCCCCAAGGAAAGCATTCAGTATATAATTACATGTATAACAACAGATATGTTTAGACGAATTCGCCATGACAAGAACAGACATGTATTTTCAAGATAATGGAAGTGGGGCAAATAGAAATTCTGTAAACAGTCACTTGAAGACCGTAGCAAGCAAAGACCAAACACAAGACATGAATTACTCAAGCGACATACGAGATACAATTAAAGAAGGTCCTCGGGTTACGTCTGACCCGATGTACAGGGTTTCGTGGTTACGGCGCTATCTCTCATAATATAATAAATGAGGAAGACGGCGTTGTTTCTTCACTGGCTGTACGCCATATTGGCTTGTGCTACATTCATTATCTCTCGTTTGTGTTGTTTTTTTTTTTTTTTTTTTTTTTTTGTGGGGGGGCTTTTTGTACTTCGTTATCGCTCCCAAACGTGAAGTAGACTCGTGGGTACTTATGTCTGTGAGTTCCAACCTACATCGAAAATCAGGTTACGTCGCGCCGTAGGAACGGATCTCCGACGTAAGTCGAGGATCCCCTGTACATGCAAAAAAAAAAAAAAAAGAAAGTACTACAGCATTCCTAACAAGAAGACTCACGTTACGCCATTCTGACCAATATCCCCGATACATTAGCATCAACGTTCCACCTAGCTGGGCCACAGAACGTAACCCGTTGTCGGTTATGCACATTTGGCTCGCTATCTTAAAACGACATTTGTGTAGGAAGGAGAGTTGTCTCCCGCAAACTTGGAAAACACATATCCGTCATCAATCGGCATCTTATGGCTCTTTGAACGCTGTTCTTTTTATTCTTCTTTTGACTCCATAATGCTTTCTCAGTTTCTTTCATACTCAGTAACCCCGTTGTATTTTACTGGCTTTGCCGCCTTGCTTGGGGCAAAATGATTACAAGGTTTGGGAATGCGTCACTGCAGACGTGAGGAGTGATTCGTGACCGGACCAAGAACTCATCAGCGCCTCCTTCTATGTATACATAGAGGGTGAAAGTCTACTCGTGACCGACTAAGACCATCGCTTGCACTCAAGCTTTCATAATTTTTTTTAATTTTTCTTCTTTCACGCATTTTAATTATCATCACTTCGTCATTCTGATGACATCTGAAATGGTTACAGATTAAAAGATCAGAAGCACTGCTTATGGGGGAAATATGAGGAAGATAACGATTAACCCTAAACTTAAACAAGATTGTAGTTATCAGGGACGCATCCTCTTGGGAGCTGGCTTCACAAAGTAGCGGTTCGTGGGAAGAAGCTGCTCGGGTGGAACTTACATCTCCCCAATGGAATACGAAGGGAATAAAGGTGGTTCACCACATTGTACGCGGAGCTTGCCTCTCGCAGACGTCGAAAATACATAATGAAAGACAGTGGTGCTGTAATTCGCTATATATGCCTCCCGTTTGAAGCAACAAAAAAGCGGTTCTACAGAAGGATACTGGGGATACCATGGACAGCATATGTGAGCAACAATGAAGTTTTAGAAAAAATGTAAACAAAAAAAAATACATATTTAACATCAGGAAAAGACAGTTGAAATTTCTAAAGCACATTATGTTGTATCCTAGGAAAGGTTACTGAATAGAATAATCCAACGAAGGTTGGTAATGAACGATAATACTTAGGACAAGAACAACACATATAAGATTCGCCAGCAGCGCGTAGAAGAAGTAGTCAACTGCTAGAAGTGAGTCAAGTGAATTGCACAATGAATCTCCAACTGCAGACGAACATACAGTATTAACTACTGTACTTATGTGAATGGGGACATACCCATAATCGTCCGTAGGTATGCTACAACGCATAATGAGGGAAGAAGGTTTGGAAAATCTGATACTCACAGTACAAACTGAAGGTAAGAGGGTCAAAGGAAAGCAACGTATAACCTGATTAGTGAGCTTTAGTAAATGGATGGCGGAACAGCGTTTAGAAGAGATAACAAAATGACAACATTTATTAAGAGCTACAAAGGACAAGAAATTGTGGAGAGCCATGATCACCAACGTCCTGGGTTGACACATCTCATAGAAGAAGAAAAAATGAGCTTGTGTAAATGGATGGCAGAACAAGGTTTAGGAGAGATAACAAAATGACAAAATTTTTAAGAGCTACAAAGGACAGGAAATTGTGGAGAGCCGTGATCGCCTATGTCCTGAAGGGTCACGGCTCATAGAAGAAAAATATGAGCTTGTGTAAATGGATGGCAGAACAAGGTTTAGGAGAGATAACAAAATGACAAAATTTTTAAGAGCTACAAAGGACAGGAAATTGTGGAGAGCCGTGATCGCCTATGTCCTGAAGGGTCACGGCTCATAGAAGAAAAATATGAGCTTGTGTAAATGGATGGCTGAACAGGGTTTATGAGGATAACAAAAAGACCAGATTTTATCAGAGAACTAGCTGCATGACCCGGCGTTGCCCGTGCTTGATTCAAAAATCGTACGACTCATACAGCAATCGCTATCACTTGACTTAAAATATTTTTGCCCTTCCTTGCCTTTAAAGGAGTGCCCTTTGCCGTGCTAATGTTGCTACATGCCTTACTTCTTGCCTCTCTCACACTGCAATTTTTTTCTAAGCTCTATACTAAACATTAAATCTGTTACAAAAAAAGAACTAAACAAAATGAACACAAAATGATCAGCTTTAAAAAAGGACTAGTAACTGGAAAAACTGAATGAAAAAAGAATGTTAACAACAAATAGTTTTTCACATCCAACCCAGTTCTACGGAAACAGAATCAACGTTGAGTTTAAGCAAGTGAATGAGCCAATTGGAGTAAAGTGCCAGGCAGATTTAAATTTTTCCCACTTGTGACGAATGCAGCTATCGAGTTTTTTTTGCATGCTATCATGCTAGTTAACATTCGTGTCAGTCAGCTGTTGGCTCTCACACTGGACAATAGAATCTTCCTGCCTATTCGTGGCCGCCAGCTATAGGCTCTCACTCTGGCCAGTAGAAAATGGCCGCAAACTACATGAAAACTGGCGTAGAAGCATGAAAAAATCGATTATTTCCACTATCGATGGAAGTTGGGAAATGAAATGTCGATCTTGGTCTTCCAGCTAACTTGGAGTATGCGCATGTAAATTTTGGTGCAAATCCGTCGAAAATTGCGGCCGTGCATTCGTTACACACACACATACACACATACACACACACACACACACACATCCTGCCTTTTATAGATAGAGATGAATCGAAATCAAACATAATGACAAAAGAAAGATCAAATAAGAATCAATCGCCAATGTTTCTCTTTAATTAAAACTTCATCTGAAAATGAGAAAATAGTAATTCTGGCATTTTTATTTTTGTGTTGCTTAACTTTCATTGCTCAAAGGAAACAGAACGGACACTAACGTAACGTCAGGAAGAGATAGCTTAAATTTATAGGGCACGTGATGAGGAAAGAGGGTTGTCACAGGACAGATTGAAGGTAAGAGGGACAGAGGAAACCAACGCATAACCTACCTAGCAAGCTTGAATAAATGGATGGTGGAACAAGATTTACAACATTTATTAAAAGCTACAAAGGACAGGAAGTTGTCGAGAGCCATGATCTTCTACGTCGTGAAGGGCACGATCCTGAAGAAGAAGAAAATGGGACAATTTTTGTTTCTCCATTAAAATTTCTATTTTATTTTATTTATTTATTTTTACGCCACTTGTTCTTTGTAAAAGTCGACTACAGTAAACAAATCAAATTCATTACGAAAGCCAATGACGTGGTCGACTCAATCAATCATGCCGCATGTTTTTCTAGCAAAGCCATTTTTCAAAAGTTAGCTGCACCTGTCGAATCATCTGCCTGCCATGTTCCAGGATCAGCAGAGGGGAGAAGTTTTAGACGACGGGTGCTGAAAAATGAATGTCGAGGCCTACCTGCTAAATCTAAACCAACATCATAACATATTTTTCTTTTCGTTCTTTCTTTACGGCAGGAGTGAGGAGTGATCGGACGTGATCAGGGCCTCCTTCTATTTATACATACATATGTGGTGGAAGACTAAGACCATCGCTTGCACTCAACCTTTCATAATTTTTTAAATTCTTCTTTTTTCACACATTTTAATTATCATCACTTCGTCATTCTGATGACATCTGAAATGGCTTTTGATATGTCCCAGAAAGGGATATATTTGTTCGAAGTAGCAAAATGGTTTTGGGCTACTGTAACCGAGTAGGACAAATCTAGCAGGTAACCGTAATGGACTGGTCCTCCTCATAGTGGTAGGCAATAGTCGTAGCCAATAGGCGTCGTCCTGTACCTCCGCATCAGTCTGTATTTATGGCTGACACCAGCCAATCATATTACTGTGAGGGGGAACCCAGGTGTATGCATATTCATTACATCAGCTTTTAAGACCTGCAAGAGTCTTGGAATTCTTCCCACATTGCAGGCATGTCAGTTTTACCGCTGCAACTTGCCTTTCAAGCCCCAGCAAACAATCACGCTGTTTACAGAGAAATAGTTCGCGAGACATGATATACAGTGACTCCGGTACTTTAAAATGAAATAAAGAGTATATATATATATATATATATATATATATATATATATATATATATATATATATATTAATGTATATTTGGGCAGCAAACATCTTTCTTTACATACGGCAGACAAGAAAAATTTAAATAGTTTTTTATTTAGTTTATTCCAGCGTCCTTACGTTCTTCCGTTTTGTAGGAGTAAAAAAAATTTCCATATTTTTCTTTGTCCCAAGCGATTTCGGCCATTTCTATGGACATTTTCAAGGGTTTTTTTTTATCTCTGGCGTGGTTTTTTTGTACGTCGTAATTTATATATACATATATACATTTACCATGATAAATTACCTCCGGGTAGTGGGTGAAACACATTCGTGAAGAAAAAGTTTCCTTTCGTCTTTATATATATATATATATATATATATAGGTAACAATCCGTTGGTATATAATCCAAGTGAACCCTAATAATATAATATAAAATATTAAGACTGATTCACATAGAGAGCTTAATGTTTTATTCAAACAGAGCATATAAATTACATACAATAGGAATTAAGATTACTCCATGGTGTTATGATCATTTCACCTTACTAATTAAGATTAATTAGTAAGGAGTTAATAAGAGAAAAAAAAATAAAATGAAACTAACTTAAAACAAATTTTAAAAGCCAGACAGAAGATTTGTTTTAAGCCAGTCCCATTTTATTTTTTCTTATTAACTTTATGGGTTTGAAAATTCTTACTAATTAATCTTAATTAGTAAGGTGAAATGATTGTAACCACCATGAACTAATCTTTATTCCTGTTGTATGTAATATATATATATATGAAGAAATATAGTCTTAAGGTGTGCTATATTTATGAGATAAAGTTCTCAATATCAGAGATAGAGCGTATGTAAATATAAAAGTGAACATCGATGTCAACACTGAGAGACGACAGTCTGTTTCATACTAGATGCAATCGTCAGGGCTGACGTATTAGTCTAGCATGAAATAGCCTGTCAGCTCTGAGTGTTAACTATATATATATATATATATATATATATATATATATATATATATATATATATATATATCGTATGTATATATATATATATATATATATTAAACCTATTAGCCGTTGTTTCACGCTTAGTGATTTTTCAAAATGTGTGTCTGTTTGCTTTGAACGCCCTGTAGATATAGTTATTTTCAAGTTTTCAAAAGGAATGCGTCACCAGGCCGAGAGTTTGAAATAATTTAATTCCTATTTTATTGTTAAAACGTTCGTGTTCCTAAATTCTATAATTTACAGGTTCCCCTCCATTCGCAGATTGCAATTTCTGTTCGATTGCACACAATATCTACACGTTTCTACCCGACATCAACCGATTTATTCGACGCCAATCACCAGATTGTTTAACAGACATTCCTTTATCCATGAACTTTACAGCAATTGTTTGTTTATAACAGCGTTCATTGATCACGAAAGCCATTTTCACCTGTCCCTCTCTCTCTTTCAATCTACCTGTCCCTCTCTCTCTCATTCTTTCTCCTATCTCTCGCTCTCTCTCTTCCTTATCTAGTAACAATCAAACCTCTTGTTTCGTATAACAAAGCATATTTTCAAAGAATCTCACCTGACAAAAATATACGCTGAGAAGAAGACGCGGGCAATTTAATGGCAACAATGACGTCATCGCCATAATGACGTCGATCCAATGCCGACCGTTTTAAACAAAGATGGTTGCAAAGGAATTCGGAAGGACATGTGCAGATGTTATTAATTTACCTGCTATTCATATTAGAACCAGGGTCGACTCCCCGACAGTGGTTGGGTGCAAGCCTGATTGTATGTCCCGGTCAGTGCTTTGTGACCCTCGCTATTTTATCAACATTTGCTTTTTTTCTACCTTCATTTATATATATTTATATATATTTATATATATTTATATACGCTGCAAATTAAGCACAGTTGACTATTAATTTAAAGTATGAAAAATTTTCGCGAATTCTGACATCATTCTAAGGTCTTTTTTTTTTTTTAACGAAATCCGTGAATTTGACTGTTCTAATTCCACGTGCCATGTATAATGGATATCAGTTATCAATTTTCTACTGTTAATTCCCCTCTCCAAGTTCACCACTGCCTTAACCCCAGAAATAAAGGGTTCAGTTCGGCATTTCAACCACCTGAAGAAGGCCGGAGCGTACAACGGCCGGAACGTTGTAATAAATATGGCGACAAAGATGAGGACAATAGTCCGAATTATGTAAATAGTGTACATAATACCTCATCTCAGAAATATAGACAGATACTGAAAGGCCGGAACGTTGTAATAAATATGGCGACAATGATGACGACAATAGTCCGAATAATGTAAATAGTGTATATAATACCTCATCTCAGAAATATAGACAGATACTGAAAGGTCGGAACGTTGTGATAAATATGGCGACAAAGATGACGATAATAGTCCGAATAATGTAAATAGTGTACATAATACCTCATCTCAGAAATATAGACAGATACTGAAAGGTCGGAACGTTGTAATAAATATGGTGACAAAGATGAAAACAATAGTCCGAATAATGTAAATAGTATACATAATACCTCATCTCAGAAATATAGACAGATACTGATCGGTCGAAACGTTGTGATAAATATGGCGACAAAGATGAGGACAATAGTCCGAATAATGTAAATAGTGTATATAATACCTCATCTCAGAAATATAGACAGATGCTTCACATCGGATGTTAATTTTCTGTTTAAAATCATTCTTATCCTAACTTTGAATACCTATGTCCTCGGTACCCCACCCATTGTGTTTTTGTTTTGTTTTTTTTAATTAATAGATTCGTTTGGATTGCATGGAGCGTTTAAAGGAATAATGTCCATCTGTTGCGCAGAGTATAGTCTAGGAAAACATTAAATAGATTTGGTGTCCTAATTTGATTCTTGTCACACTCCTGAATAGGTTTGAAATATTTTAGTATTAGGGTCTTCAGACATGTATAACTTTATGAGCCAATGTAGTTTCTCAGGTCTTAAGGTCTCGGTTCAGTTTAAGTCCCAATAACAGCTCAAGTCCTAGCCCCCCCATCCTTGAGGGAACTCACGTTCATAGCGACCGGTGAAATTTTGGGGTATTCACGGAACGTTACAAGATTGGTTTTTAAGAAAGAAAATCAAAAATTATCCGCACTTATAACATAGATATGTTATAGCAAAAATCCGGATAATTATTTGCTTTCTCTCGTATATTCATTAATAATAATTATTATTATCATAATAATAATAATGATAATTATGGTCAATACTCGGCTATGATGTCTATAAAACCCCATACCCATCAGTGGCTACGTAGTGCAGGGTTAAAAGCTGAAGCCGAGGGTTTTATTCTTGCTGCACAAGATCAATGCTTGCTAACTAGAAATTATCAAGCAGACATACTGAGAAATTGTGTTAACCCGAAATGCAGATCCTGTTATAAATATCAAGAAGCAATTCACTATGGGTGCACGGTGTTTTCACCCACTGTATGATAGAGTGCACCAATATCTGCACTGGAAAACATGCAGCTTTTACGAGAATAAGACTGCAAGAAACTGATAGATATGAATATCACCCAGACCCGGTTACAGAGATGGAATCTGTGACAGTTTTAGGGGACTTTACAATACACACAGTCAGAACAATCAAAGTTAATCCCCCAGACATCAAAGATCAAAGACCACAAAAACAGAATGTGCTTTCTTATTGACAATGGCAGTCCCTGTAGATTGTAATGCATCTTTGTAATGTGGCACATGAGGACGTCAATAATTCCAGTTATAGTTGCAATTTTGATCGGATTGGTTGAAAAAGATTCAGATAGACTCATTGAAGGGATTCTTGGTAACCTATGCCTTAAAGAAAGACAAAAAAATGTATTCACAAATATAGGTGACACATCATGAAGAGCTCTATCTACGTAAACTGTGTGACCTTAGGTTGTTTTTTTGTTTGTTTGTTTTTGTTTTTTTTTATTACAAAAATGATCAGTAGAAAATGTCATGAAGCCATTTCTGACCTTAGGTCTCTGGTTGGGACCCGAAAGGAAATGAGCATACAACAGAAATCAAAGCTAATAATAGAATTAACCCATTAATGTATAAAGCTTCCTTAAAATCTGATATCTATTTAACCAATTTCACCACTGCCTTAACCCCAGTGAACGAAATAAAGGGTTCAGTTCGGCATTTCAACCACCTGAAGAAGGCCGGAGCGTACAACGGCCAAAACGTTGTAATAAATATGGCAATAAAAATGAGGACACTAGTCCGAATAATATAAATAGTGTACATAATACCTCATCTCAGAAATTTTGCTGGTGATTTTGATTAATCTATTTTGCTGGTAATTTTGACTCATGTACTTTGCTGGTAATTTTAACTTGTGTACTTTGCTGTTAATTTTGACTAATCTACTTGGCTGGTAATTTTGACTCTTGTACTTTGCTGATAATTTTGACGTGTGTACTTTATTGGTAATTTTAACTGATTTACTTTGCTGATAATTTTGACTCATGTAATTTTGACTAATCTATTTTGCTTATAATTTTGACTAATTTTCTTTGCTGGTAATGTTTATTTCATTGCTGGAGGATTTTTAATTTTAGGTAAACCTCTATCGATTTTTTTTAAATTGGACGCCATGTACAAATAGTTTAAATAGTTTCAGCACGCCATGTTAGTGAGAGTTAATTAAACCAAAGAATGTATGAAACTTTCTAATTATTAAATCCAGAGGGGGGCCTTAAGTAATAAGTTAATAAAAGTTCCATCGATTTATTTCTTGACCGACTTCAAAGTTTGGTCGAAAACCATTCATCAAGATTAAAGGGTCCAAGAAATCTATTGAAATATCGCCAGATATTATATTTATACTCTCTATAATAAACGCTAATCATAGACTCCAAAGAAATTCCAAGTTTATATATATATATATATGAAAAAGAGATAAAGTATAAAACCAATAAGGACAGAGTATAAAGTGACAAGAAAAGCGACGAAAAGAACAAATAACCACGACATTCTATAAGCACGTATGAACAGACTGGGATAGATAGATAGATAGATAGATAGATAGATAGATAGATAGATAGATAGATATGAACATATTTGGATAGATAGATATGGACAGACTGAGATAGATAGATAGATAGATAGATAGATAGATAGATAGATAGATAGATATGAACATATTTGAACATATTTGGATAGATAGATAGATAGATAGATAGATAGATAGATATGAACATATTTGGATAGATAGATATGGACAGACTGAGATAGATAGATAGATAGATAGATAGATAGATAGATAGATAGATAGATAGATAGATAGATATGAACATATTTTTTGATAGATATGGACAGACTGATATATATATATATATATATATATATATATATATATATATATATATATATATATATATATATATATATATATATATATATATATCTGACTAGGCTAGTAGATATAAATATGAGCAGACAGGGATATATATATATAAAAGATAGATAGATACACACACACACAGATATGTTATATGGATCATCAATCGTTTATGAATTATTTAATGTTAAAATACATTTTAGATTTTATAAATAATTATTACAATGATTTTTTCCCGATACAAGTCCTACTATTTAACCCATAGTTGGGGTAAGAGATTGATTCATACCTTTTGCGTAAGTGAATGTCCCGTACTCGACTGGAAATCGAACTCGGCTCTCCAATCTCTCATTCCAAGCTCATTACACCACCCGTACAAGATAGCGATAAATAGAGAGAGGGAGAGAGGTGGTGGGTGAGGGAGAAATAGAGAATGAGACACACGCACACACACGCAAAATGATTTCGTTTCGTCTGATGCTTGTAAATCAGTCATAAAATCGTTCTTACCGTTTCACTCTACCAAACGCGCCCTCGCTGCTCTGGAATTCCGATATGCGAATCGATAAACGAGACCAGGTAACAACAGCTGTAGAGATCTTCATATTACTTGTCCCTCCGTCCGGTCCGAAAAACTATGGTAAACACGAAAAAAGAAAACAAATATGAATAAAAGACAAGTTCTCCAGACACCATTTGGGATTTGACTGTGTACATTAAAATATTTCTTTTAAAATAAAATTTTAAAAAATTCTCCGAAGTTTATGCGTTAGCAACTGGAGTTGATAACATGTAAGATACGTTTCAAAGGAAATTATTTTTAATGTCATCTCCATTCAAAATCTAGGCGATCATGGCTCTCCACAACTTCTTACTGCTTACCTTGCATATATTTAAGTCTACAATTTATCTTTGTTTTGAATATTACAGTTACAACTGGTCTGGTGCTTCTGCTATATATTTACAGATTCTAGATAAAATCCAAAGAAGAATCTGACATTGTTATTGGTCCTGACCTGGCATCTCGGCTTCAGTTCTTTTCTCCCCGCCGTAACGTATCTTCCCGATGTCTTTTCTATAAATACTTTCATGATAACTGTTTTGATAAGCTTTCCTCTTTTACGCCCCCCTACAGACAAATTGTACATAGGGGGACGAGTTAAGACTTTATAGAAACTTTGATGTATTGTGGTGTCTGTAGTAAGAATGGTATGTAAGAATGTGTTGTTTTGGTGCAAGGAATATTATAGTCTGTTTGGGTCAGTGTTAGTGGCTAGCTACCCACCCACCACATTTTGATATTGTACCACATTTATCTATGTTACACAAAATAAATATTAGTTTCCTCTTTTGTACCTAGACATTGTGAATTTCAGCGCAGTACTAGGTTGGCAGCTAGGTCTCATCATTTTGCAGTTGAAATGGCTAGATGTTACCGCGAGTTCTATGCTAACATTTTCTTCCCTCTCACTTCTCGCTTGTGGAACTCTCTTCCGGCTTCTTGCTATCCAGTCAACTTTGATCTTCAAAAGTTTACATGCAATGTCAACCGTTATCTTCTGTCTTCTTAATCCTTGTTCTTTAATTGTTCTCTCTCCTTAATAATGTTTTCCGGTTTCACAATCATTAATTCCTTGCGTCTTAGTGGCTTTATTGTCTTGCATGGGGTGAAATGATTTTAAAAAATACATTTTATTATTCTCCGTGAATAACTGCGACTTCTTGAAAAAGAATACAGTGGTGGTTTCCCGTTGCTTTCTCGGCGGCTTTGAATTCAAAATTGCTGTCCTAGGCTGGCAGCCAACCAAGATACGATAGCCTAATCTATCATGGTATTTTAACCCACATGCTCGCCGATTCTAATTGAAAATAACTAACGATAATCGAAAGTACTTAGAACATCACACACAATATCGGCAAGTTTCTTCCTATGTTTGTACTCGAGATATTTGAAACCAACTAAAAACTCATCAAAGGGCCTGATAAATATTCATTGTCCGTTCTATTTAATATATAGGAAGTTGGTCAGAGTGTCGAAGAACAAAATCCCAGATTAAGAGTTGAGCTGAGTAAATGACGAATAGCCCGAAATGTACCTCCAATAGAATACCTTTTACTGAGCATGTAAGTATTCTGGGAATGGGATGTTTTGCCTAAGCCCATTTGGCGTCACTGATTCGGCGTCGCCGATTCGGCATAGGAATTTTTCGGCGAAGGGACGATTAGGCGTCAGATTACTACTTCATCCTTATAGTCAAATTTGCTTTCTCGCTGTTTCTCTCTCTCTCTCTCTCTATATATATATATATATATATATATATATATATCTTTCTCTCTCTTTATCTCTCTTTATCTCTCTCTTTCTCTCTCTCTCTTTCTCTCTCTCTTTCTCTCTCTCTATCTCACTTTCTCGTTCTCTTTCTCTCTTTCTCTATCTCTTTCTTTCTATATATCTCTCTCTATATATATTTGTCTCTCTCTCCATCTCTCTATCTCTTTCTCTCTATATATATATATCTATTTCTCTCTCTCTATCTCTTTCTCTCTCTATATATATATATCTATTTCTTTCTCTCTCTCTCTCTCTCTGTCTCTCTCTTTCTCTCTCTCTCTCTCTCCCACCACTGAATTTTTTCGCTTTGATTTAGATTAAATTTGAATAAGGGAATGACTCCTATCCCAAATATAGGAGAAAGCCAGATGGGGGTCACATTGACAAGATCATTTTGATCAAAGGAAGTCTCCGGGGACTTGGGGGCACAAATCCGCCACTGAATTTTTTTTCCCTTTTAATTTAAATTAAATATAAAATTGAATGACTCATAGGTACTTGGATAACTATATTTCATTTTAATCAAAGGGTGTACCCCCCGGGGAACTCCCTACTGAAAATTTTTTCCTTTGGTTTAAATTAAATTTAAATTTGAACAAGGGAATGACTCCTATCTAAAATATAGGAGGAGAAAGCCAGAAGATAGAGGTCATTGAGTTATACTGAAATGCATCATTTTGAGTTATACAAATTATAGTGATTTTCCAAGCGTAGCTTAGATGTGGCACAAGGCCGAAAGTATGGGGCATCCAATGCAGTTATACAAATTATAACAATGATTTAAAATCAATCATCATTTTCTTAGAAAATAAAAGTGACATGCAGCAAGGGAGAGGTAATTCGGTTGTAATGATAATAATAATAATAATAATAATAATAATAATCCCGACCACTATAACCAAGACAATGACATCATCCTACCTAGCAACCCAATAACAGCCATCTTTAAAAAAAAAAAACTGTCAAACATTGGCATAAAATTCATCAACACCACTTCTAAAACAATAAGAGATAAAGTTAATATCAAATGAGATAGCAAAAATAACTGAACAGAGACAGGGATATATATATATATATATATATATATATATATATATATATATATATATATATATATATATATATAATAGATTGTACAAAATGCCCTTTGACGTACATCTGCGAAGCATCCAGAAAAACTGTCCAAATGTTTTCTATATCTTTCGGCTATTCTATTAGCCATTATCAAGGATTTTTTTTAAACTGAATATGTAGATTTTGATATATGAGTAACTTTTGCGATGGGAAGGTTTTGTTATTTTCCAAACACGGTCAGCATATTGTGGCCGTGTTCATAGTTGATATTATTGAGTGTGTATGGTGCAAAGTGTTGCAAGTGTCTTTTTTCCCTTTTCTTTTTACTTATTTTTTTTTCTCATCTCTCTTTTTCGTTTTCTTTTCCCTCATTTTTTTCTTATTTTTTTTCTTTTCTTTCTTCATTTTTCTCTGTTTTCCTTTTGGCTTTCATTTTTTTTCTTCATTTTCTTCTTGTTTTATCGTTTATTTTTAGTACTTTTTTTATTTTTTCTCTTTTTTCATTCTTCTTATTTTTTCTTTTCTCTTTTTCTTTTCTTTTTCCCCCGTTTCTTTTAATTTCTCTCTTTTTCCTTCTTTTTCTTTGTTTTCCTTCATTTCTTTCTCTCTTTCTTTGCCTTCTTTATTCTCTTTCTTTCTTTTTCCTTCTTTCTTCTTTTTATCTCTTTCTTTTCCTTCTTTTTCTCTTTCTTTTCCTTCTTTTTCTCTTTCTTTTCCTTCTTTTTCAATTTCTCTCTTTCTTTTCCTTTGTTTCTTTCTTTTCATTCTTTTTCATGTTTCTCTTTTTCTTTCCTTCTTTTTCACTTTCTTTCTTTTCCTTTTTTTCTCTTTCTCTTTCTTTTCCTTCTTTTTTCTCTTTCTTTCTTTTTTGCGCTCTTTTTTCTTTTTCTCTCTTTCTTTTCCTTCTTTTTTATTTTTATTTTCTTTTTTCTCTTTTCTTTCTTTTCCTTCTGTTTTCTTCATTTTTTCTTTTCTTTTCTTTTTGCTTCTCTTTTTCCTTTTCCTCTTTTTTCTTTTCACTTTCTCTCTTTTTTTCTTTTTTTCTTCTTCCCCTGTTTTTTTCCTTTCCCCTTCGATTTCTTACGTTCTTTTATTTCCTCCTAATTACCTTCGCGCAACAGCTTTAAGGCAGTTTTCAGATCAATATCTGACAATCCAAACAACATTTGAAATTAACGACTCTAGAAAGAGAGAGAGAGAAAGAGAGAGAAAGATATTGAAAGAGAGAGAGCGATAGGATTTACTGTCCGTAATTATCGACTCTGTGGATGTCACAAATAAAATATGTGAACGGTTTGAATATTGCTGACTAAACTTTGTCCTCAGTTCCACGTAGGTGTGAAACGGACAAGACTAACACATAGCTACTCACCTAATTAGACACGTGCTTCAAAATTAATCACACTATCTAACTGCTTTGTATATGTGCTGCTGGTGTAATGGTTAACGATTCAAGTTCAAATTTTGACCGAGTTCGCAACGTTCACTAAGAATTCATCTCTTCTTCCCTCAGCTATGGGTTAAATAGCAGGACTAACCAGACTCGCTTGTCTTGAGGTATCAACTAGTCTAGGAGACGGACAACTCTGAATTCAAAACCAGCCTGAAAAGTAATGGATTCCACCATGCTATCTTTCCCTATACACACCCACTGATGTTATAGCTACAGTACATGCAGTGCACCAACAACTCTGATGGTTTACGGAACACGAAACGTACTTAGAAACTTTTCATACATCTCGAATAAACGAGGGGGGTAAATAATATCTTCCCAATATTTAATAAACGGGGGAGTTCAAATAAAAGGAACAATTTTTCGAAAATAGAAAAAAAAAGCAGGATGCAAAGGAATTTTAATAACGACAAATTAACAGCTTGGCGGGCATCAACTTCACAAAAATATGTTTCTTTCTTAAAAATAAAAACTCTTCCTAATTGTAGGGTAGGGCATTTTCCGAATAAATCACGAGAAACAATTCGAGAATTCCATTCTCTCAAACTGATTATGGTGGTCGTTATGGTCAAAATGCAGTCGTTTGCATCGTTCTCAATGAATTACCTTCCCCATTCAAGGATTCTTTACAGACAGTTCTGACAAGTATAAGAAAGGCGGTGATAAATGTATCGAGTCCCAAATTCTCGACCCGGGAAATAATTAATTTTAATTTAAAGGCTAAGTGTTGTAAAATATACCTCTGAAAATACAATGTATGTAAGCAATTCAATGTAAATACAATGAATAACATGTAGTGAGTTTAATTTTAACAGATTCCCCCAATGGGGCTCATGGCAGGTAATGGGTTAAGGAATTGCGTGATTTCAAAGGATTTCCGATGTTTCACTGGTCGTTAAAGTTACATTGTGAACTTGACCTCCCTCATTAACATTTTTGAATAATCGTATTTTATGGTGTGTGTGGATCAATTGTCTCCTTCCCCCCATAAAAATTGATTATTCAAGCAAAATTAACAAGTTTAATATTTTTTTACACTGTTTTAAAAAAAATTACTTTAAAAAATATCAAACTGGTTAATTTTGTTTTACATTTTTAGCAACAACACTGCCAGTAAATGTTTTTTTAAATACCTGTAAATAATTTTTAAAAAATTTAAGTCCATATATTTATGAAGAATATTACAGAAAAAATATTCAATTTTTATTCACTAGTTACCATTGTCGTTTTTGTAGAAACTAGAACATCAAATATGTGTATAAAACATCAAAAAATAATAGTGATTAGAAATAATAAAAAAAAATACTTTTCAAAATAGTCATTATTTTTCTACTCGTGAAATGTAAAATTACGACAGAAAGTGTCTTCTTACGGCTAATAATAAAAACTTTAAAGGCTAAGTGTTGTAAAATATACCTCTGCAAATGCAATGTATGTAAGCAATTCAATGTAAATACAAGGAATAACATGTAGTGAGTTTAATTTTAACAGATCCACAAATGGAATTGCGTGATTTCCGATTTGTTAAGGATTTCCGATTTGTTTCACTGGTCAGTGTCCGTTTTACGTTAAAGTTACATTGTGAACTTGACCTCCCTCATTAACATTTTTGGATAATCGTATTTTAGGTTAAGTTTTCAAAGCTCTCCTTTCTCGCTACACATCCAAGAAATTTCAGGCGTTTTTTTCTGATTCTGAGATCTTCTTTCCGTTGACATTTTGTTCAAAACTTCCTTGGTGCTTACTCCCTCCGACCATATGCTAAAAAACAAAAAAAAATGATCTGAAAATTCTATCATATTCTTAAATGGCATCGTCAGTTCTAGATTATCACATCTTCAGTCATTGATTGCCAAAAGTTTCCTGTATCGGTGAGTTATGTGTTATGCGTGATACACGCTTAGGCGATCATGTATCATTCGATACATGACTGACGAGGCAGATTTTTTCCCGCTGTAGGTTACCATTTCTTTCCGCTGTAGACCAGTTGCCATTCAAGGCTATAGAATCCGATCTGTCTTGCTATTTACCCATAGCTGGGGGGAGAGGATTCATACCTTTCCCAAGAGTATTGACACATGAGTGAATGTAATGGATTCGACTGGAATTCAAACTCTACTCTCCGATTCCTCAATCACGTCTTTAAATTAGAATCTGTATGGATAGCGGCTTGGATTGAGGAATCGGAGAGCTGAGTTCGAATTCCAGTCGAATCCATTACATTCACTTACATGCTAATACCATAGCAGGACAGACCAGGTTCTATAGCCTTGGATAGCAACCAGTCTATCGCAGAAACAAATGGAAACCTACTGCTATTTACCCATAGCTGGGAGGGTGAGAAGAAGAGGATTCATACCTTTCCCAAGGTATTAGCACGTAAGTCAATGTAATGGATTCGACTAGAATTCGAACTCGGATCTCCGATTACTCAATCCGAGACGCAATCCATTACTCCACCGAGAGGATCTAAAAGGAATTCTTAAGTGTGTACCTTCAGAACGTAGGCGTTCATGGATCTCCACAATTTCTTGTCCTTCGTAGCTCTTAATAAATGTTGACTTTTTGTTATTACATCTAAACCTTGTTCCGCCCTCTATTTACTTAAGCTCGTTAGGTAGATTATGAGTTCCTCTGTTCCTCTTGCCTGCCATATATCCTGTGAGTATCAGATTTTCTAAGCCTTCTTTCCGTGACGTAGATATTTCAACTGTCTTTTCCTGATATTAAGTAAAAGTTTCCGTTTTGTTTCCATTTTCTCTAAAACCTCGTTTGGTCTATGCATTCTTCTACTTCAAAGCTATTCTTCATCTTTGAGAAGATTGTCCAGCGTTCACTGCTATATAAGTGGACAGATGTCACATAAAAGGTCAGTACTGTTTTCTTTGTTCCTAACAATTATTTTTTATGTTTCTTAATACATTGCTTAGCTTTTGTAAGGCATCTTTGTCTATCCAAATGCGTCTTCGGATTTCGGTGTCGCACTTTCCGTCCTCTGTTAAAACACTTCCCAGATATTTAAATTGTTGTACTTGTTTGATTTTGGTATCTCCAATTTGTAATTTATATGTTGGGCTGCCCCTTTTGCTAACAACCATGCATTCTGTCTTCTTTCAATTGATGTTTCATCCTTTCTTCTCGCTTTCCTTCACGACCTTATGTAGTTTTCCTTCCATGTTTGCTATTAACACAGTGTCATCTGCATTTCTTATGTTGTTAAGAATGTGGCCGCCAATAATGAATCCTGGTAGGACTTCTAGTTCTCTCATAATCACCTCGCTGTATAAGGTGAATAAGTCCGGTGTAAAATGGCGACTGTTTAGCTACGTGTGTGTGTATGTGTGTTGACCATGTTCACCATATAGAATACAGCGCAGTACGTAATCTGTTCAATGAAACAACGTTAAAGATTAACACTCACGAGTCTGACACTCTACTGAATCTGACTATATCGTCAATACCACCAGCAGCTGTTCCGTAATTCTTCAGTCTTCGATATCAAGGGCTGGCAGTGATATTTAGCCCCCCCCCACGAGGGTTACATGTGGCACAAGGCCGGGATTAATGTGGGATCTCCGGACCCGTAGACTCTGCCAAAAATATTCACTATTCGAACGCGTATAAACGGTTCAGGGGCAGTCAACCTCCCCGAACGAGACTCTGCCCTTCGGCGAAGCCTCGTCCGGGTTATCAAAGGCTGGCAGTGAATATTCGGACAAAACATGGCCGCCTTTATACACCTCGCATTGAATATTTTGAGCCTTCTGATTGGTTAACCCTTCTATTGGTGAACTATAAAATGAGTCAGCTCATTTTGGCTGGCTCACTAGTACACCAGGGTTCCCTAAAAATTCCAACAATGTGTGTGTGTTTGTTTTTGTGATGCCAATGAATGCATGTTGTCAGTTTCGTAATGTTCGTTTTAGTGAGACTTTGTAATCGCAGATACAACTATAGTAACGCCGTTGAACAATACTGGTGTCAGACGCCTTCGAATAACACTTACACTAAAAGTACTTGCTCGATAATACTCGCTCGAATAGTAATCCGTATAGGGATCAGTATGGAGAAAAGGTATGGTGAATAGTATAGAGAATAGCGATCCGTATAGTAATAGAGGATAGAATAGAAATAGTGATCACTTAGACGCCACGCTAATTCCCATATGTGCATTTCCTTTACCATCACGTGATCTACTTCTTAAAAATGGGATCGTTTGTGTTTCCTCACCGGTGATCTGAGTTCAAACTCCAGTGTGGGCAGCGACACTTTATTCCTATAAATAGTGTGTGTAGCGCGCGTGTGTTTGTGTATGTGCGTATGTGCATGCGTATGTGTGTATGTGTGTTTGTGTATGTGTCTGAGTATGTGCGCGCGTGTATGCGTGTGTGTGTGCGCGTACGAGAGTGTGTGTATGTGTATGTACGCGAGTGCGCGTGGACAGGCTAAGAGTTAGCGGTTTGGCTTGTGAAATCGGTGAGCTGGCTACGTTCAGTTTCGCACAAAATATATGGGGGAAGGTAGAAGCTATCTTATTACCCAGCACCTCGTTCACCCCCTAAGGTATGGATTAAATAGCAGAGCAGAAGGACAGGATTTGAAACCCCCCATGCAGGCCTTGCGAAACACATGTGAAACAGCCATTGAACTGCAGAACATGTCGAGTGAGGCCGA